GAGATGGGAGAGAGATACCCGTAAGACTAGTGACTAATGACAAAAGGAACTTCAGAACTAGCTTGTTTCAGCATAAGGAGTGCGACATTAACTTTTCTTGTTTCTTTTCAAAAAAGTTGAGTATAAACCATCGGCTCCGTATGGTAAAGTTGCATATGTACAAACTATAAGGTCGCAAGGAACTTTGATTTGCATGGCAATCTTCTTTGGCAACCAACAACTCTGCCTTTGTTGCTGTAAATGCCTCTGAGCAATCTCGTCCTCAAATAATTCAATCTCCTCAAAGTGGTTGTGGACAGTTAATTTCTAATTATAGGAGATGTGGTCATTTGCATGGCAGAGATCATAATCAACCTACCACTTGACCCACTAATCCGCATTACCAGTTTTCATATGGCATTCTTGGTCCCCCTCCTGAAACCTAGCCTTGCAATCGCTTCTCTATGGGTCTTCAATGCAAATTTTATTTGCATATTCTGCCCAAGAATGTCCTTCACTGTTAAGCAGGTATCCACATAGCTCTCAACCCAAGCTAACTCAATTTATAAGTTGTTCACTACTCTTTGAACTCCAGAAGCCCCATGAAACATCCTGGTTACCTGATACTGGGGCAGTCTCTTATATGAAAGGCACACCAGGTATTTTCAACCATTATTCTCCCATAAATAACTTTAAAGTCATGTTTGGATATAGGTTAATCCATAATGTGTCAAATTGGTTCTTCTATGATTAACTGTTCTAGCAAAAAATTTCACTAAAATAATGTTTTTGTTGTGCCTTCCTTTATTACTATTTTTCTCTCAATGAAGTGCTTCACTGAAGATAACTCATATTCAATAGACTTCGATCCCTTTACCATGCACCTGACCTCTCTGCCTCATTTGTATCTTTGCTCCCATGCATTGTGGATATTTCCACAATCAAGGACACGGAATTACAAAATTCTTTCTTAAGAAGTTGCAAATGATTTGACATTATCCAAGTTATGCAAAGATGAAACACAGTTATGCGACAAATGTGTACAATTTTCTATCTTTTCAATTTGATTGACACACAATGTTTATTTAACAATTTATGCATAGTTGCATTATTAGTAGATAAAAGTTTTTACATCCTATATTGGTTAGAGTTTAAAAAATTTCTGTTATAAAGAGAGGTCAGTAATTTTATTATTGGCAACATCATAATCTGGTCATGGTATTAGCATCATCTATGGTAACTTGACTGTCAATGACCCATTCATAGATTCACTCAAGTGAACAAAATATTACCAATTAGAGTTGAGGAAGTCTTATAGAGGGAGTTCAACCTCGAAACCAAGTGAAAAACCTCCCAACTAAGTGAACTTTTAAAAGAACAAAGCCTGACAATATAACATCCCATTTGGACTTGATCCAAACTCTAGCCAGAGCACACAATCAGGCTCTCTCAAATTCGAGCATTAACACAACAATCTACCTTTTTTATCAAAAGGGTGAGGGTTCAACTTTTAGGAAACCCCTTACCATTTGGATGATGGTTCAATAACGATGGTATGGTTTTTTTATTATTTTTCTCTGTTTGTTTGCACTTCCAAACACAGTATAATTTTTTACTGGTTGAGTCATGGTTCTCAAAACCATTATTTTTCCTATTTTTTCAAATCACCAATTCGGTAGTTTTAAGATAGTTAGATAATTTTGTCCCTTTATACTCTTAATATTTTTTATTATTTACAAAATTACCATTCATTTTAAATCATTCTACCCAACACTTTTCACTCTTCTTCTTCTCTAGGGTTTCTTCTTCTTCTTCTTCTACTCGATACTGATTCACCTCGAGCCGCATACCTCTTCTTCTTATTTTATTGTATATATATATTTAATTATATATATTTTTTTATATATAAACATGTATTTATATATTCAATTAAATTCATATACTTATATTTTTAATTTTATATATATGTATATAATATATTTAATTATATCGATTTTATTGTATATATATTTTTTAATTATAAATATACATGTATGTAATATTTTAATTATAAATATGTATATAATATATTTAATTGTATACATATATATATATATCTTTAATTATATATATATATATTATATATGTGTATATTTAATTTTATATATTTATATATCTCTATATTTAACACTATATATTTTTTAATTTTTTTTTAATTTTTTATTTATTACTATATACAATAAAGTAAATGCAAAATATACAATCTGTTCAAATATACAACCATATCATACTTTCAAATCAAACAAAAACAGCTGTCACTACTAAATATTAATAAACTATCATCCAAACATAGTTAAATTTAAACATTAATGAATCTTATACATAAATACCATACCTAACATCAATGAACCATCATACAAATTATCCAATCAAGCTTTAGAGTCAAAGAGAAAAATCAACTCCCTTTAAATAAATAAAAAAAATCATAGGTGAGAATTCAGGAGTAAGGTTCGATTTTTCTAAGGTATTACTTAACATATTCATGTGTAGTAGAATAAATAACCTTCATGTGAGGTCCATTAATGGGGTCACATTAGTACCATACCTTGAAAGAAGTTATGGAGGGGGCCAGCTGATACAATAATACATGGTTCAATTATAGAAGTCTGAGGAAGGAACCTAAATGTTTGATGCAAGCCATGTGTTTTACGTGTGTTAATTGTCATAATCCTTCATCTGACTTGGTGTGAAAAGCTATACTAGTTTATGTTCATGTTCTACAACTCTAGCCATCAAACTAATATGAGAAGCTATAGTAGTTCATATAATTGTTGTACAACTCCTACAAGCAGGGTTTTGTGGTTGGAATCTATCACTCTGTAAAATTTTTCTGGTGAATAAATGGTTAACATTTAAGCCGTTGATACAAGAAGACACGGAACTCTAAATGTTGTATATTTTAATTTTTAAGTGTTAATGACTGATAATTCAGAGAGGCCAGCTACGGTACTTAGTACTGCGTTGTCGGGTATTAACTGTTGGCGGTGGCAACAGACGGACTTTCACAAACAGAGACCATAAAAGTCAACAAAAGCAGGATCCTGAAACTCGGAAACTTTATCTATAAAAATTAGGATATAGTAATGAACAAGGAGAAGATCTCCAGCAATCTGGACCAATAAGAAGATGTCTCTGATTCCGGAACAAAATGCAACTTTCCAAGGTATAGTCATTGTATCTGCTGGCTATCTTAATTTTCATTTTCAAACCTTTTCCGTGCTTTTGGTTTTAGGTTTAGTGCGTTCAAATTCTTAAATTAATTAATGCTATAAAAGGAGCCAGACAAATGCTAGACTAGAAATAAAGAAAACGAAGTGCAAGGACTTCGTAGAATTAAGTAGTGACCTGGAAAACGAAAGGAGATGCATGTACCATCTGCATTGAAGACGAAGCAGCCATTAGAGTACTGTGTTAAGGTCTGAATTTAGGGATAACGCAACCTGTGAGCTTAGTAGAACAAGAGGATAAGAAGAGCGTGAGGCTCTTTGTCTTTTTTTATGGGTGCGTGTGCGTGGTTTCTTTGGTAGAGCACGTATGTTAACAGTTAATATGCGCCATGGGCGCAGGTTTAGCTACTTCCGTCTTCATCATCGTTTTCCCCATCTTTTGCTTGAAAATATCTGCGGCTTGCTGCTTCCCGCTACGGAGCTATAACCCAGTCAATCGGCCCGGCCTCTGGATCCATAAGGTGAGTTTTGTCTGTTTTCGGATTTTTTATTTTTTATTTTTTAAAATTAATTTTTACTCCATTGAAACTCTCCCGTTAATGTTCTCTCCCTTCATTAAGTGTTTGTTTTAATTAAATTAAATATTGTATTTCAGTCACGATTAATTTTATAAAATAATAAGATTTTATTTTTAATGAGATTGAAAATCATTATCTTCCACTAAAATTCAAAGTTTCATCTCAAATTCATACATCTACTTTCGTTTTGGTCATCATAATTGAGGGTGAACATGATTTTTTAATTATGATTTATTTTAATTTTTTAAATAAGAAGATTGGGTTGGAGAGATTTAATTTTATTTTGATTTAGATCATATTAGATTTGAATTGATAAGTTAAAAAATTGTCTAAATTGAATATGATTATATGTAATATATTTCAAAAAAAAATTAATTTAAAGTACAAATAATTAAGGAATAAAATATGTCAAAAATAATTTGATATTGATATAGATAAACTAATTCAAATTTCAGTTATAAAATATAATTAGTGTAAAAAAAATTGGGTAAATATGTACATAATATAATGCTTAAATAAAGGGTAGACTTAAATTAAGTTTTATAAAAAAAAAATTGAGAATAAAAATAATAATAATAATAATAATAATGCCTGGGTAATTTGAACTTTCATTTTTTACGAGCTTAAAATTTATGAAAACTTGATTTATTGTTTGAAAATTGGACTTATTTTTAATAATTATGTAAACAAAATCATATATGTTGCATTGAATGTTATATTATTATTTAATCAAACAAGATCATAATGTCAAATTTATAAAATTTCGATAAATTTGGTTTAGGAATTGGTTCAATCCTATTAGTAGACTAATGATATAATTTTAGACTAATCAACAAAATGAAAATTCAAAATTTTAAATTTATTTATATGTTAAAATTTGGTTATTATATATTTTGAAAATAAACTTAATTATATAATTTATATAACCACGACACATTGTTTTTAATTATTTTTTAGACATATTTGATTAGGCTTTAATTACATATGCAAATTATTCTAATCCCAACCGGATCTCAAACGTTTAGATAAAATTATATTTGATTAGAACTTAAGATCTTAATAATTTAAAAATTAATATAATCACACTACATTTGTTCTTGATTATTTCTTTAATAATATAAAAAATATGAGGAAAAAATAAAAAATGAATTCATCTAACTCTGGAAAAACAGGACTTTAAAATTATATAAATGACATTTGCTTGGCCCAGCCCAGACCAAATCACTGTCATATTTCTTGGCAGTGCGTGGTGAGTCTGGCGAGTCGTGGTGAGTCAACTTTGCTCGCTTTAGCAGCGAAGACTGAATTCAGAGGATGGGCCTGGGAGGAGGGGCGGGATTAATGGTAGTCACAGGTTTTAGCCAAAAAATATGCGCGCCTTGCCCCTTTCCTTGGACTGCGCTTCCTTCTTCGTCTATCCTCTCTTCTGTTCTTCTCCTTCTACCACAACCCTAATTTTCTCTTCTAGATTCCTAAGCCCTAACTGCCATAACGGCTCCCAACTCCACAAATTTTCTTCAAAATCTTTGTTCTCCCTGCACAAGCCAAACCCTTGTTGCTCCACCACTGACACCTCCCTGTTAGACACAAATGATAACGACGACGATGACGATGGTTATTATTCTTTCAATGATTATGATGATGATTATGGTGATGGTGGATTCTTAGATGGGGAAACGGAATCGTTAAGCGAGGATGGTGTTTCCATCGAGATTAAGAAGCTCGGGAGCAATTCTCGCCGGATTCGCTCCAAAGTTGAGATCGATGGCAGCCTTGACACCGTTTGGAGCATCTTAACGGATTACGAGAAATTGGCTGATTTCATTCCTGGCCTTGCCGTTAGCCAATTGGTCGAGAAGAAAGACAATTGTGCTCGTATTTATCAGGTACTGTTTCCTCACTCATACAGAGATACACACACTCAGATAGATTTGCTTTCTCTGAAAAACTGTAAAAATTTACCCGATAAATCGATCTAAATGTTTTGAATTGAAATTTCCATGGATTTTGTCGTGCGGAGCGCCATATCAGTTTGTTAAGAGATGATGCTGTGATTTATTAGTGAGAATTGCCGTTGTTAGTTGTTGACATTTGTTGTTATATACTTGATTTGCATTGAGTCTATGCTTGGAATAAATTCAGAATTTTGGTAGAATTTATTTGTGAATTTACGCTTCTTTTAACTAATAGTCGTACAAAGTAAGACAAAAATTGACTCATGCGCAATCCTTTTTGGAATTAGAATAATGTATTCCAAATTTATTAAATTTCATAGAATTTGAAATATATTGCTTTAATTTTCCGTGAAATTTTCTGTTTTGTCAATATGATATAATTTGGAATATGCGGCCAATATTTTGATTCTTTTAAGATGCAAAATGGGTTAGCACTAGATTTTCTAAATAAATTAGAAATTATAATTATATTAAATATAAAACTATGCACTATTTAGAAATCTATTTTATTATGTTTTTTTGAAAGAAAAGTGTAGAAAATATATTGATATGAGATGTTAAGGGGGCGCTGCCCATGTACAAAAAATTTACAAGTCAATAAGAATATATACAACTGACCCTAAATCTTCAAAATGGTTAATATTATGTTCCAATACAGTGGAACCAAAAAAGTGTAGCCATTTGCGCACAATGTTGCCAAATATTTCTTCCTTTCCTTCAAAGGTTCTATTGTTTCTCTCTTTCCAGATAACCCAGAAAATTGTGAGCGGAATGAGTCTCATTCTTATTTCTCCTGCACACCAATTCCCAAGCAAATAATTCTTCTTGAACAGAGCCGGTGATTACCCAACTAATGTCAGGTAGACTATATACCCTAGTTCACAGCTTGTGAGTGATAGGGCACCAAAGCAAAAGGTGATCACTAGTTTCAGCATTGTTTTTGCATAGATAACATCTTTTCGAAAGGGAAAAGCCTCTTTTCATGAGATTGTCAGTGGTCAAAATGCGTTCCTTCGAAACTTCCCAAGCAAAGAAGGAAATTTTGGTGGGAGCATTTGCCCTCCAAATCATTTTGGCAGGAAGAGAGTTTACTATAATTCTGTTATGTCCGGCAAGATAATTATAGTATAATTTTACGCTGAAGGAGCCTTTGTTTTCTAGCTTCCAGATCAACATATTATCTATGTTGTTGAGCTGAATAGTGTTCAATACTGCCAGCAAATTCTCGTATTCCACTATCTCCCAATATTTTAAATTCCTATTGACCACAATGTCCCAACCAATGCCATTATTTTTGTCAAAAGCTTCCTCAATTGTCATATGTTTATCCTTAGTGAGGGCAAAAATAAGAGGAAACCGGATTTGTAGATTATAATCTCCACACCAGAAATTAGACCAGAACTTGACTTTGTTGCCTTTTCCCACTTTCCATCTAGAACACTCAAGAACAGAATGATTAGTGTTAGAGATTCCCTTCCACAAGCTCATACCAAACTTACTTCTATTCAACAACATCTGATCCTGTCTTCCATTTAGATTCCACTTGCAATCAACCACTTTTTTCCATAAACTGTTAGTGTCATTCCAGTATCTCCAAGCCCACTTACCATGCAAAGCCTTATTCAGAATTTTTAGGGATCTCAGACCAAGACCACCAGATTTGATGGGATTCAGTGATCTCGTCCCAATTTACAAGATGGAGCTTCTTTTTGCTATCCTCATCCCTCCACAGGAAATTACATTGAATTCTTTCAAGTCTTTTAGCCATCTTTCCTGAATAGTAAGGGTTGAAAGGTATATGTTTGGGGAGGTTGGATAGTGTACTCTTGATAAGGGTCAATCTCCCATCTTTAGACAGATATTTCTCTTCATGATGCAAGATGTTTTTCAAGTGATCAGTAACCGGGTCCCAACAGTTTCCATCCTTATGCTACGCCCCAAGATGTATTCCAAGGTATTTAATAGGTAGATTTGCCATTTTGCATTCCATAACCTGGGCCAGATCATCCACCTTGCAGTCATGCCCAACCCCAACCAAATCAAACTTGCATAAGTTAATTCGTAAACCCAAGACAGTTTGGAAGCAAAGAAGAATATCTCTTAAATGTGGGAGCATGCTAACTTCTGGTTGACAAAAAATGAGAGTATCATCAGCGAAGAATAAGTGGGTTATCTCAATTTTCTTTTCATTGCCCACCGAGATTCCTTTAATGAGATTTGAGTTCCTAGCTTGTTCAATAAGCTTATTTAATGCTTCCATTACTATAATGAAAAGTAATGGAGAAAGGGGGTTGCCCTGTCTTAAGCTTTTAGATGTTTTAAGGAATGTAGATGGGCCGCCATTTATCATAACCGCAAAACTTCTTGTGGTGATGCAAGTTTTGATCCATTTTCTCTATTTTTTACCGAAACCCAATCTATCAAGCATGTAATCAACAAAATTCCAGCAGACATTATCGAAGGCTTTCTCCATATCCAATTTACATAATATTCCTCTCTTCTTAGTTCTTGACAGCTCATCGACGACATCATTAGCTATCATTACAGCATCGGTGATTTGCTTATCTCCAACGAAAGTGTGTTAACTTTCTCCGATGATTGAATTTAGGGCCTTGAAAAGTCATCTGGCCAAAATCTTAGATAGAAGTTTATAAACATAGCCCACAAGACTTATGGGTCTAAAATTTGAAAAACTGTTGGCACCTTCCTTTTTGGGGATAAGAACAAGAAAAGTAGAGTTGATAGATCTAACGAAGGATCCATGCTTATGGAAATCATTGAAGAAATCTAGAACATTTTTTTATCACATACTAGAAATCTTGTAGGAATTTAAAATTGAAATCGTCGGGTCCGTAACTTTATCACCATCACAATCTTTTAGGCAGTAAGTAATTTCATCTTCAGAAACTTCAGCCTCAAGAAGTAATCGGTCAGACTCTTCTATTTTATTGAATTGATTGTTGTCAATTAAGGGTCTTTGTTCAAACTTTTCTTGGTAGAGTTGACTGAAATGATTTTTTGCAGCCTCCCTCATTGCCACATTGCCGCTGATCCGATTATCATTAACATTGATTTCCTCCACATAATTGGTCATGCTTCTGTGATTTGCCAAACTGTGAAAGTACTCTGTATTCTTATCCCCTTCTTTGATCCATTTTTTTCTAACTTTTTGCTTCCAAGAAATTGCTTCCATGTGTAATCTGTTGGCTAGTTCCAATATCAAATTATTTCTTTTTTCATTGATATCTGCAGTCAACATAGACTTACTCTCTAAACTGTCTAGAGCATCCATCTCCTGCATCAATTCATTAATTCTGTTTTCTTCTTTCTTACCCACATCTTTTGTCCATTTCTTAATCTCTTGCTTAAGTATGGAAAGCTTCCTAGATAGTTTGAAACTTGTTGTACCATCCTCCACCGGTTTATTCCAAACATCATTGATCATGATTTTGGAACTATCAGTTTTGAGCTATTTATTATCCAGACGAAATGGTATGGGTCTCCGTTGAATCCCATCAGAAGATAAACATATAGAAAAATGGTCAGAGATAGGGTGAGTGA